CAGGCGGGTGGGGGAGACTTACCTGAGTGACTTGCAGCCTCCCCTGCCAGCTTCCCCATTGACTTTGCTTGTGGGAAGCTGGCAGGGAAGGTTGCAAATGACGATCATGTGATTGTGGGATGCTTGGCAACCAATTGCGTGAATGGGTTGCCAAGTGCCCAGATCATGATCACATGACCACGGGGGCGCTGCAGTAGCCATAACTTTGGGGACCACTCATAAGTCAATTTTTTTAGCACCCTCATAATTTTGAATGGTCGCTGAACAAATGGTTGTAATTAGAGGACTACCTGTATACGTTTGCTACAGAGCTGGCAGCGTTTGTCACTTTTAGTTCTAGAACAGCTGAAGTGGTGCCATTAATACACACTCTGGGTGAAGTCATTCAGCTAATTGACTCCATCTAACAATAGTATCATCTAACTTCTATTTTACCATTTTGTTAAAGAGAATATAATGAGGCACTCTGTCAAAGGTTTTGCTGAGTCCAGGTACACTATGTATAAGGCATTCTGGGACTCTCCAGTCCTCCCCCAGGTCTTACAGATGACCAAGAATGGTTCTGCAATCCTCTCCACAACTCCCTTCAATATCTTGGGATGTAATACAACTGGCCCTGGATGGATTTAAATTAGCTAAATGATCTCTTACCCTCTCCTTATCTATCCTAAAATGCAGTTCCCTCATTGCCCCAGTGGTGTAACAATTACTTAGGGCTCCATTTTGTTTCTGATGTTGGATCCAAAACGGGGTTCTTGCCCAGAGGTGACTGCCAATAACTTTGCCGGACACGAGAAACCTTTAGAAGTTTCCTTTATTGTTGCACAGCAGTAAAGGGGCTACCTCTGTCAAAAGAGGCACCCCAACACAAAGAAATTGGGTTTTTATACCTTAAGTTCAAGAAAACAGAGTCAAAAGGAAGGATAATGATTGGTTAGGAGCCTCTTTATTACCTTGCATGTCATACCGGTGCAAACTTAGGTTATTATGATGAATGACTGTTGATTGACATCTCGTTATCATAAAGAGACAATATGCCTATAAGGGACAGTATACAATACTAGGA